GATCCAGACTTATGGCCAGGCTTTACCAACAAGCATGCATTCACAGCACCACTGTCACTCTCAGCATGCAGCACATCTCTGCTTAGCACTGACAAAGATTTGGATGATGAGGAGAAAGACCTGGCACATATGCTGATAGCAAGGACGGTGTCATTCATTGGTGATGAGTCCTCAAGCCTGCTTGGAATGTCAGAGAGCACCGAAAGTGCATGGACGTTGAGTGCACCATTGAGCGTGCCTTTAAATACGCAGAGCACGCTGTTTGAAGAGGAGAGGCAGTTGGTCAGCACTGTGGCCAGCTCACTGTCAGTGGCATTGTCAATGATGATAAATAAAGCATGTAAGGCAGCAAGTGACATTGGTATCAAGCTGATCGAGCCTAAGAGTATGTGGAAGTTGCAGTGAGTCTCTCAGCACATTTGGTGGCCATCTTTGTGGAGCCTTCTATCAAGCACAAAGGCGTGGTAAGCACCATAATGTTTGGCATGCCCAGTGCGCTCTCACGCAGCATATATAACGGGCCATCCTTAAATGCACGCATGTGTGGCAATGGCATCCAGAATGAAGTCTCTGCATGGAGCTTTGGAAGTGGCTCTGGTTTAGGCCAAATGTATACTCGCCAGACATAATTGTGCTTGCACTTGCCAGTGTTGATGTCTGCACAAATACTCATGTGCTCTGCCATAACGATGATGACAACAACATAGTTGCTATCATGTGTCAAAACGGTTTGACACAGAATATGATATATACTAGGTCAGTTTCTATATGTCAGCCAATCTCATGCATGGCAATAGCATCTTAGAATATGTGACAGCAGGCTGATACATCTGGAGACTACTAAAGACGTGTAATGAACTTGTTACGTGTTTTATGTATAGGCCAAACATGTATCAGATTTGTTAGGGCAGTTGTTACAGATAGCAGGGCAAATCATTGGGGCAACTGTGTATTTTTAGGAGATTCCATGAAACAGCAGGAATATGGAAGAATAGTGTAGAATAATACAGAATACTCTAGAATAGGCCAAAGTAGACCAAAGGATGGAGCTTCTAATAGCTATTACAGGGCCCCCAATCCACCTGCAAAATACAAGAAACTTTGAGAGCAAGAGTCTCATCTGTGTGTACCCAGGTAGGAAGTGCAGTCAGGCGCTTTCTTCAGTGTAAGGTAGTAAGGCTTGGCAAATAGATGCCAGCTTATACCTTAGATTTGTTTCTGTTATTTAAGGTGTTGTGAGTGGACTACTAGACAATCAGATCTATCTTTTGAAGTAATATCTTCTGTGTTAGTGCTTACTTTTGTACCACCCATCTTTGTCTAGACGTCAGCAACTCAGTGCTGCCTCTTAGATATCCCTCCTGCGCTAGCAGTCTAATCCAAGTGAGACAGCTATCTCTTACGTGATCATGTGTCTTCTTTTATCTTCTGCCTACATAACTTATTATAGTGGTCTTTCCCTCCTCAACAAACACCCGAGGCAGAAGTTGATCTTATGTCTGATCCACCTAACTCAGATAAAGTGCAGTTGTCTTTAAGTGGCTAGTTCCATGCTCATTCAAGTGTGTCTCACCTACCATCTTTCACTGCCCTTTTACACCATGATATAGCGTGGCAGCAGCTCTGGCAAGTCTATGCTCTTGAGATGGTCATAAGGTAGCAGCAGCAGAAGAGGAAGGATATTGGACACCATCAGTGGCTTTGTGGGCCTCTATGGCTCATGCTCCTTGGCATACTTGACCTCGGCCCAGATGTACATGTCGGCCTCACCTTTCAGGATATACATAAGAAAATGGAGCTGCAGTCACAGCTGGAGCATAAGTCACAGCGGCCAATTACTGTTTGGTGGCAGCGCATGCACAGCAGGAGCCTGTGTGCTAGAAGTGAGAGTAGAGTGCATAGAAGGAGTGCTATGGCAGCAAGCAAGAGGACATCAGACAAGGTGGACCTTGTGGCACTTGAGCATGTGGGGTACTCTCAGAAGGTATATCTTTTTGCCCTGTTTTTCTTTCCACAGGTGTGATGCTGATCTGACCTTTTCTTCTGCTAGTCCTTTGGCAGTCAATCTACAAAGCACAAGCATGATACTACAATATACACCGGCATGGTACTACAATGTGCACTAGCTGACAAAATACACATGAGAGTGCAGCTACGTGCAGCTCTTCATGTATATGCTTGCTATGCACTAGTCCAAGCACACTGCGTCTGAGGCAGGACTCATTGCAAAGGTTAAGCTTGATCTGCTGTCATGTGTTGAGATGCGCGCCATGCGCCCAGGTGACACCAAGCATGACATGTACAAAGACACAGGTGCAGTTGAGAGTATGCTGCTTGTCATGTTTGAGCTGGAGTATAGTGATAGTATTGAGCAGCTGGAGGTGGAGATGCAGGTCGAGATGAGGATGTGGTTTGATGCGATCCAGTTTTTGCTATAAGAACAATGCATAACTGTACTATTATGGCTCTCTGCTGTATTGCATTAAAACGGGGCCACAGCTTTGCACTGTAATGCATTACTCTCCTGGCAGCTAGGACACTTAGCACTAAACATGGGCCACAGCTTTGCACTGTAATGTATTACACTTTTGACAGCCAGAAGACTTAGCACTTGGTGTCATGCAATAAAATACTTATGTGGCTCTTTGATATAGTAATTATAGCTAGATTTTA